CAGCGGTGGGTTCACGTGACGGTCGTAGTGGTCGCTCATTTGCTTGCAGGTGAGACTACGCCTAGCGTCCGTTTGCTGTCACCCAACTCTCACCTGTGGCTCCACGTAGCTGGGCTCTGCTCAGCGGCCACACCCCGGGCAATCGCCTCGACCGGAGGGCTAAACCAGGTGAGGGCGGTTACTCCCGGTGCGCATTGTGCCACGTGCACAGGGTACTGCGGACTCCGCTGGACGGTTGGTCGGATGAAACACCGCGTCGGCACCGTCGTGAAGAGGCTCCGTCTGGTACGCCACTAGTCAGCCGGTTAGTGGAAAGTCGCATCGGCATCGCCTAGACTAGGCTCCGCCTGGTACGCCCTTGGTCAGATGGTGGGATGGATTGTCGACTCGGCATCGCTGACACGCGTCCATCTGGTGCACCGTAGGAGACCGCGGGCTTACGGCGATGTCGTAAGTCATTGGCAAATTCGAGTCGTTCTTCCACTGCCAATAAAATCTCGTGACCCACAGTGGAGTTCGGCCGCGCCGGCACATCAAGCAGCCCTATTTAGGAACGGGCACTGCTTCTATTCGGAGAGGGCCTGGAAAAGCTGGCCAAAAAATTGCTGGGGAACCACGTCGTCTGCAGGCTGACCGTGGTCGCAGACGTAAACCTCACGGTCGAAACAACCAAAATCGAAATAACAACAACACTACTCGCTCTCCTCATTCTACCTCTTATTTCACTTCCTCTGTCTAGTCTTCCGATTATTCTTCGCCTTCGCCATCTTCTTCTCCAACTCCTTCCCGCGATCCACTCGTCGCCAGACTGGCAGGGTGAGTCCGCTCACTCTGGCAGCCTGGAATGTTCGTTCCCTTTTAGACAATCCGATGTCCAACCGACCGGAACGGAGGACGGCGCTAGTGGCCCGGTAACTGGCGCGCTACAAGGTAGACATCGCCGCACTCAGCGAGACTCGATTCGCATAACAAGGTCAATTGGAGGATGTGGGTGCTGGCTACACCTTCTTCTGGAGCGGTCGCTTCAGGGCAGAACGACGAGATGCGGGCGTCGCCTTCGTCATTCGGAACGACATCGTAGGACGACTACCCTGTTTGCCTCAGGGCATCAAAGATCGCCTGATGAGCTTCCGCCTGCCTCTCTGGGGAGGCAAATTCGCCACCATCATCAGCGCCTACGCTCCGACGATGCCGAACCCCGACGCCGTCTGAGACAAATTCTACGAGTGCCTGCACGCCCTCTTGGCGACTGTGTCGAAGGCGGACAAGTTGATTGTCCTTGGCGACTTCAACGCCCGCGTCGGCACAGACCATACTGCCTGGAGGGGAGTGCTGGGTCCTCATGGTCTCCGCGGCTCCAACGACAACGGCCTGCTTCTCCTCCGCACCTGCGCAGAACACCGCTTCATCATGACGAACACCTTCTTCTGTCTGCCGGAGCGAGAGAAGGCTACCTGGAGGCATCCTCGGTCGCGTCAGTGGCACCTGCTGGACTATGTCCTCGTCCGGAGGCGAGATCAGCGGGACGTGCTGGTGACGAAGGCGATCGCGGGTGCTGACGGGTGGACCGACCATCGCCTCGTCATCTCGAAAATGCGTATTCGCCTACAGCCTCGCAGGAGACCTCAAGGTAAGCGACCCCCAGGTAAGCTGAATGTTGCCTTGTTGTCCTTGCCCGCTCACCGTCTCCATTTCAGCAATGAGCTAGCTCAACGACTAGACACCCTTCCTATCGCTGCCGCCGCTGCCGAGAACGCCTCCGTGGAGAAACGCTGGTGTAAATTGCGAGACACGGTCCAGTCGACGACACTAGCCGTCCTCGGTCGCGCACGCCGCCAACACCAGGACTGGTTCGACAACAACGACGCCGTCATCAGCCATCTGCTCGCCGAGAATAACCGCCTACACAAAGCATACACAGACCACACGACTGACGACAACAAAACTGCTTTTTATCGCAGTCGACGCCACCTTCAGTAACGACTGCGCGAGATGCAGAACACCTAGGCTGCTCGCAAAGCTGAGAAGATCCAAGCCTACGCGAACCGCAACGAGTGGAAGAAGTTCTTCTTCTCCGCCATCAAAGCTGTCTACGGTCCGCCGACGGAGGGCACTGCTCCTCTCCTCACCGCCGACGGTCGTACCCTCCTGACTGACAAGACACGAATTCTACAGAGATGGGCCGAGCACTTCCGAGGCGTCCTCAACCGCCCTTCCGTCATCTCCGACGCCGCCATCGACCGCTTGCCGCAAGTGGCGACCAACGTGGACCTCCACCTCCCGCCATCTCTCCAGGAAACCATCAGGGCCGTGCAACAGCTCTCCAGCGGGAAAGCACCCGGATCGGACGCAATCCCTGCTAAGGTCTTCAAGCACGGAGGTTCCCAAATGACGGATCACCTGACTGCGCTCTTCCATAAGATGTGGCGCTAAGGTGAAGTCCCGCAAGATTTTAAAGACGCAACCATCGTGAATCTCTACCAGCGAAAAGAGAACCGCCAAGTCTGCGACAATCACCGCGGCATCTCCTTGCTGAACATCGCCGGGAAGATCTTCGCTCGCATCCTGCTCAACCGCCTCAACAACCATCTGGAACATGGCCTTCTGCCGGAAAGCCAATGCGGCTTCCTTCGTCATCGTGGGACCACGGATATGATCTTCGCCGCCCGCCAACTTCAGGAGAAGTGTCAGGAGATGCGGACCCAACTGTACTCTACCTTCGTGGACCTGACGAAAACCTTCGACACGGTGAATCGCTAAGGACTGTGGAAGATCATGCAGAAATTCGGCTGTCCGGAGCGATTCACTCAGATGGTGCGTCAGCTGCACGACGGTATGATGGCGCGAGTCACGGACAACGGAGCTGTCTCAGAGGCAATTGCAGTGACTAACGGAGTGAAGCAGGGATGCGTGCGGGCACCAACCCTCTTCAGTCTTATGTTCTCTGCCATGTTGATGGACGCCTACCGCGACGAACGCCCCGGGATCCGCATCGCCTACAGAACGGACGGTCATCTCCTGAATCACCGGCGCATGAACTTCCAATCGCGCGTATCCACAACCACTGTGCACGAACTCCTCTTCGCCGACGACTGCGCCCTGAACACCACCTCCAAAGCGGAGATGCAACGCAGCATGGACCTATTCGCCGCCGCCTGCGAGAACTTTGGGCTGGTTATCAACACGCAGAAGACGGTGGTGATGCACTAACCGCCACCCAACTCAGTCACAGACCCCAACGCGCCGCAAATCAACGTGAATGGGGCCCAACTGCAAGTGGTGGAGAACTTCCCGTACCTGAGCAGTACCCTCTCACGCAACACCAAGATTGATGACGAAGTCGCCAACAGGATCTCGAAAGCCAGTCAAGCCTTCGGTCGCCTCCAAAGCACAGTTTGGAATCGTCATGGTCTTCAGCTAAGCACAAAGCTGAAGATGTAAAAGGCCGTCATCCTGCCGACACTACTGTATGGGGCGGAGACTTGGACGGTGTACACGAGACAGGCACGCCGACTGAACCATTTCCATCTCAGTTGTCTTCGTCGCATCCTGAGGCTGAACTGGCAGGATCGAATCCCCGACACGGAAGTACTGGAACGAACGGGAATCCTCAGCATCTACGCCATACTGAGACAAATGCAGCTGCGCTGAAGCGGCCACCTGGTGCGCATGGACGACGAGCGACTACCCAAACGACTCTTCTACGGAGACGTCGCGACGGGTTCTCGCCGTCAAGGAGGCCAGATTCGCCGTTATAAGGATACCCTGAAGTCCTCCCTGAAGCGCCTGCAAATCAACCGGACCAACTGGGAAGAGCTCGCACTCGATCGACCGACATGGAGGAGGACAGTGAAGACAGGCGCTGCGATCTACGAAGCCAATCGCAGCGCCGCCGCCAAAGCGAAACGCGAAGCCCGCAAATCACAACTTCGCCCAGTCCGCAACGCCGCCGCACAACCTCTCCCTACGTGTCCTCGATGCCACCGGACATTCCGGGCACGAATCGGACTTGTTGGACATCTTCGGATCAACTGCACCTCTCGAGCTGGTCCAGCCATCGTCCCCCCTCCCGCCTCTTCCTCGTCCTCTCTGCGGCCAACTAACTCTGACACTCCTCCTGCACCACCACTTCCATCCTCCTACTCCTCGTCGTCCTCCTCCCTCTCCGCTGCCCCAGCGGCGGCCGTTCAGACTGCTGTCTCTCACATCACCAACCCCAACACAACAACCGACACTACCACCACCTCTCGCGATACCACTGATGAGGATCAGGACTACACCTGCCCTCACTGTGACCGCACATTCACCTCACACATCGGCCTCGTCGGTCACTTGCGAATCCATCGCACAGAGACTGGCGAACCAGTGCCTGGAGCACCAACCTACACTCACCGCACTCGCCTCCACTACCCACACTGCCCTCGCACCTTCACGCATCGCATGGGTCTATTCGGCCACATGCGCATCCACGAGAGCGGAATTGACTACAATTCCGATACAGCCACGACATCCAACACATCCACCACGCCCAGACCCATCCTCGCTCCACCGTCACACGTGCCGACCACCACCACCGCCACCACCACCAACACCACTGCTTCCTCTACAGCTGACACCGACACCGCCAACCTCTCATGCCCACATTGTCAACGCACCTTCACCTCACACATCGGCCTGGTCGGTCACTTGCGAATCCATCGCACAGAGACTGGCGAACCAGTGCCTGGAGCACCAAACTACACCCACCGCACTCGCCTCCATTGCCCACACTGCCCTCGCACCTTCACGCATCGCATGGGTCTATTCGGCCACATGCGCATCCACGACGACCTGCGGTAGACAACCGCTGGTCACACCACACATTCACTCACTCCCTAC